TTGCTCGGATATTTGTTTTCGAGTGTTGACTCGGTTATGGAAAACGATCATATGGAAAAAGTGTTTATGCGTATACAAACAGGATGGGATGAATAACTGTGTCGTTTGTATGCGGAAGGCGATGAAAATAAATTGTTATTTGGCAATAGCAATTTGAATTTATACCCAATTTGCGAGAGAATGTTATCGCTGAATATATATGTCACCGTGGATTTCCGCAGTATAAAGGATATCTGCGATCGATTTGGGATGGAGAAAGAACCATTGGAAAGAAAATACACACATCGGAAAAGTCTAGGGATATTTTTATAACATACTAAATATCATCAAAATAAATGCATGAGGTCGTTTAATTTCGATTAAATTGGTACACTCGACCACCCTGTAGATTTCTATGGGTTGAACAAAGCCTGCAAAAACGGTAACTAATCTTTTATCAAGTTTTTTACAAACTGTAGGTTTTTGGCTAAAATTAATAATCTGAAAGTGTCGAGTTTGTACATTCTATGCAGTTCTTGCTCAGCAATTAAACTGGAAATGTTGTGCTTTAACATGGAACGCCATCACTTACCATTGGCTGAGATGAATAGAGCTGTAGGGCTTCTTCAAAGTGGCATGCGACAAAATGATGTAGCTCTTCGTTTGGGGGTCTCCCAAAGTGTTATCAGTCGATTGTGGCGGCGTTTCCGTGAAACTGGCAGTCCAGCCGAACAACATCCAGGGCGAGGACGCGCTACAACTGCAGTTCAAGACCGATTTTTGGTCTTAACCGCAAGAAGACAACCGACAATCACAGCACCTGAGTTGGTTAACGTGTTGCAGCAGACGCACCAGGTAACCATTGGTCGTGATACTGTCAGAAATCGACTGCATGAAGCAGATCTCCACAACAGAAGGCCACTTAGATGTCCACCTTTGTCGAGAGGCAATCGCGGTAGAAGATTAGAGTGGTGTCAAGAACATCAAAACTGGGATGCAAATGATTGGGCCACAGTTTTGTTTACAGACGAATCCAGGTTTGGATTTTATCCAGATTCTCGTCGAGTAAGACTGTGGAGACGACCTGGAAATAATGAACGTTTGAGACACGTCCAGGAAGTCCACACATACAGAGGTGGTACAGTAATGCTATGGGGCGGAATCATGATCGGCGGCAGAACCGATCTCGTTTTTCCAAATCGCTCCCTCACAGCTCGACAGTACCTCGACACCATTCTTCTACCTATCGTCCGTCCGTTTGCTGGTGCTGTTGGTGAAAACTTCCACCTAATGCACGATAATGCTCGTCCACATGTCGCGCGTCTAGTGACTGACTGGCTCACCAACGAAGGAGTTGATGTATTGCCATGGCCAGCACAATCACCGGACCTGAATCCCATCGAGCATGTGTGGGACATGCTTCAACGAAGAATTACTCCGCATATGGGGAACATTCACACAACGTTTCAATTGAGAGAGCTTTTAATCGCTGAATGGGCAAATGTACCTCAACAAGACATTGACAATCTCATTTTGTCGATGCACGATAGATGTAGGGCCGTAATAAACCAGCGTGGAGGCCATACTTTGTACTGATTCCAATTTTTTTTGTATTATGATTTTTTTTCGGGGTGTCAAAGAAGAGCCATATTATTTTTTAGTTTTGCTTATATGCGCACTCAGTATTTTTGACCATTTAATAAATTTTGTTGTAAGTTACATTCGTTTAATAATCACCCGTCAACTTTTTTTTCCCTAAAGCGATCTAAAAAAAATTATTGCCATTTTTAAAAATATCCCTAGACTTTTCCGATGTGTGTAAACAAATCAACCTTAATGAGATTACCGTCTCAATAGTGTGTAAATTGTGTGGCAGCTCAGATAATGAAATCATACTGCTGTTGTTTTTCGGAACATACAGAAGGAAATGCTTCGACTGTCATACCCATCGTGCATTTAGCACTCTAACAATGTTTGCAGTTTCTATAGCAATGGTAAAAATAACTGAGTCCCTTAAAAAACATTTTTGTTTTATATTCTTTCAGGTATGAAATAAATAAAAAAGTGAGCTTTGTTTTTCCCAATTTTTTTCATTTATGAATATTGTCAGGAGCCAAATTGTCAAAAATACTAATTTCCGAAAATATTCAATTTTCCAAATTTATAGCCTCAGCGCACCGCACTGTAAGGGTCGATCTAGTAAAAGTTCATTTACCTAAATGAAGTTATGATATTCAGCAATTAGCGATAATGCAATAATGCTGATTGGCAATATTATACTTCGATCTAAAATCGGGAACAAGAGTATGTGGGCATTCGACTGCTATCTTCTGAAGATAATAGATCCATCACCCCTAAAATGTACCTTCGGTAAGTGTATCCTTTGATTTATAATGTTGGCCTGTTAAATCATATTTTTAAAACAGCGAAACATTGTTGAGTTAACCCCCAACTCGCAAGTCATTTGGGCCGCCACAATATTCGAAAATAATTTTAGGTATCTAATAATTCAAAAATATTCAATACAGTCCTACATGTGAAAACTTGCGGTATTTATGTCAATTATAAAATAGCCCCGACCTATGGGGCTATTGAATTGAGATGGCTCAAGATGTTGAAACTTTCCAAATATTTGATGAAGTTTGTGAGGATCAAATGGTGAGGCGTAGTTTATGAAACTAGATATTTTTGTGTAATATAGTACGCATCTTTCAAGTATTTTCCGCTGTACAATATGACATTTTGTTCTTGCCAGTGATTTAAGTGTGAAATTTCCACAAAATTATTCAAAAAAAAAGTTCAATGCCACAGAAATTTCAAATGTTATTTTTGACTGAAGGATGTGTTTCTCCAGAGATTTTTCCCAAGAAAATCAAGTATGTATGGTATATATTGAAAATAACCAATCCATAATACGTAATTTCAGCTCACAGCTTCAAGAAAGTAACCAATCCCTTCAGAGTGAGAATGATGGAGAAGTTTGATTATTATATAACAATAACATCATTTTGACAAATCATCAAACGATGTGGGTAATAATCCATCGAACTAACCTTCTCGGTAGTTTTCTCATCTGAAATTGAAACAGTTCAATTATTATTTTGTGAGTAAAACTCACACGTATATTTTTTTCAAGTTATCACCAACAATCATTCATTTGCGATTTTCGACTGCATTACGGCTTTCTTGGGAAAATCAGATCTTCTCGGTGGCGGCCTTGTTAATAATAATATACTCACATTATGATGGGTCCATCTATTTGTGTTTCTCATACTTGTGTTTGCGGTAGTATTGTTGATGAAAAAGGTACACATGGTTTGAGTTGCAGGAGAAGTGCAGGGCGTACATCTCTACATCACCAAGTGAACGACATATTGAAACGAGCTATGTTGTCAGCGGATATTCCTGCAATTTTGGAACCCTTAGGTACCAGTCGAGATGATGGTAAACGACCAGATGGTATGTCTCTCATACCATGGAGATATGGTAAACCTGTGGTATGGGACTTCACTTGCGTTGACACGGTCGCGGCTTCCCATCTAGCCGAAAGTTCCAAGTCTGTTGGAACTGCATCATTGTCTGGCGAGAAATGGAAAAGGAAAAAATACCAAAATCTTGGAAATAACTATCTGTTTCATCCAGTAGCGGTTGAAACTTTTGGTGTTCATGGCCCGGAGTCTCTGTTATTCGTTCATGAACTCGGAAGGAGAATGGACCAAGCAACGAAAGATCACCGTTCTACCTCTTTTTTGATAGAAAGAATTAGTATTGCTATTCAACGTGGCAATGCTGCTTCAGTACTTGGAACTGTTCCTCCTTCACATAATTTTGATGAGATCATGCATTGCCCTAATTTCAGTACGGAACTGAAACCTCTTCGAAACAAGCCGAGATATGTGGATATTTATCAGTCTCCTATCAAGGTTGTTTCACAAGTTATTGATCCACCTTCTTCTTTTTCAGTGCGGTCAGTGGACTCAGATCATTTTTGCCCCCAAAAAATGAGTTGCAGTCCTCGTAGAACTGGTTCCCTTTCAGTGGAAGAGCTTCATGAAGCTATCTTCAGATGATGTGGTGCTGCAGGTTTTTCCGGGTTTTCCTGCAGCTGAAAAAGCAAATGCGCAACAGGAATCAATGAAGTCGTCCCGGAGCGCCAATTAATTTTTATTGTTGTTTTTATCGTTGTTTCAATGAACTCGTTCCTCACATTATGACCCTGTAGTTTTTAAACTAATTTTAAAAAACGTTTTTGATTGAAGTTTTCATTGAATATTTTCTATCTTTTCTAAACAAAATTATCTAAACAAAAACATCTCCTAGCAACATCTAGCATACTCCATTTGAAGTAAATTGTAGGGCAATACAACCACCCTATCAGGCAGTATTTTTTTCCGCAACTACTATACTAATTTAATTTATTTTTCACAACAAAATTACTCATATTCCACACAGTTCTGAACATTTCCACGTATGGTTCAGACCGAATTCCAGTTACGAACAATGGAAGCAGCTTCTATAGCTACAATGGGCTCTGCAACGTTTCAAACGGCCCGATGAAAACATGGAAATTGGAAAATACGTTCACGTCTCATCGGAAATGGAAACTTTCAGAGTTCTGGTGCTGTATTCGCAGTCATATTTTTGCTAACAATACGAGCCCCACGATATACGTAATCGTGAGGTGTAAAGACGCTTTGTTCAAAAGCTTTTTGGAACATTGATGATTTCACACGGGTTACGGTGCAGAAAGGTGAGGATTTTTTGATGATGACTGAAGTTTTAGGATTTAGAATTACTTTCGAAAATCGAATGAATATGACGCAGAAAATTACCATATGAATGAGTAGCGAATATTACTTGGTAATTTCTGCAGGAGAACTCTTGAAATCATTTTGATTTCAGTATTAATCATAAAAAAGTATATCAGAGTCACAATGAAAATTTCAGTATTTAGAAATGAAGTATATTCAAAGGCCACCATATAAAAAATATCAACACATTTTTTATAATTTTCAACTTACCATAGTACACATCTTGTAGCGTTGTGAATCTCGGAACGTTGATACTGATTCTCCAGCTATATATCAAAACGACAAGAATGGACATGTTCTGAAAAAAAAAATTATATTTCAACATTAGAATACTGAGTTGTGTTTCTCCATTATAACATTCTAACGAATTTTATTTTGGTTGCCTTGATACATCAAGAAAATGAATGATAATGTCATTGATAATAATAAAATAATTCGCGAAGTTCCATCTTTCAGGAGCTGAATATTGTATTTTTCGATCGATCTAGTAGTTCTATGGATGGCATTATTTTTAAAGACCCACCGGTGTTACCTCATGCTTCGGGGGAATCTCTATTCGGAATTCAGAAGTTTCGAATATATTGGAACTATTCATTCTTCTCTCCAAAGGTAGTAAACGTACCCTGGAATTGAGTTCCGGGTGAGATAAGTATCGTTCATGAAGAGAAAGAAAAACATATAAAACTCAGCTACTTCATTTTAACAGTTGTTCTTCCTCTATGACCGAAAGGAGGCAAACTACCTTATGCTAGTGGGGATATGTGGAGGAATTGTGTATGACAATGTCTGTATAAGATGGTATATGAAAAATGTTTTAATATTAATTTTCGTAATAGTCGAGTCGATATATTATATTGAATTATTAATCTTTCTTTCAGTAGTGAATTTTTATGACTGGTGAATGGATGTGATATATACGTAACTTACCTAGCTCTACCAGTAAAACAGACTAAGATATTTCACTAGTTCGGACTTCCATTGTCTACTATATAAAATGATTTGAAATCCCTGAAACAACTAAAAAAGATGAATTGAAAATGAATAGCTGAAAATAACAATTATATTAACCAAAATAAACCTGAAATGAAATAACAGTGAAATAAAATACAAGTAAAAATAGAACAACTGAATAAATGAAAATGGTGAAACGTCGAAACGTCGTTAGTTCACGACGTTTCGATTGTTAGTATTTACAATCGTCTTCGGGTGATGACTGGACTGATTCCTCCGAGATGACTATTTATAGGTCGTTCGAGTGCTTCCATTTATCTCCGCTTTCCATTCTCCGCTTCATTGGTTCCTTGGGACATGACCGTTTTGGCGGGAGTATGCCATTTTTCGCTTGATGATGGGTTTCCATATGTTGCGTATTTCTACGCTTGGCTGGCTGAATACGATGTTGGGCAACATGTATGCGGCTTCCTTGAATCTTCTCCTAAACCAATGTTCCTCTCTGTGCAAGATATCAGCTCAGCACCATTCGATGTTGTGTTGATGAGTCCAAACATGGTATGCTCTTCCTGATTTGATGGTTTCCCCTCGCTGTGTGTGCTTCTTGTGCTCGGCAAAGTCTTTATACCATCGCTTTGGAGTAGCCATTCCGTTGAAGATCATTTTTGATGATGTCTAGTTCCTTCTTTGTCCAACAACGTATTCAGCCAGGCCAGCGTAGAAATACGCAACATATGGAAACCCATCATCAAGCAAAAAATGGAAAACTCCCGCCAAAACGGTCATCTCCCACGGAACCAGTGAAGCGGAAAATGGAAAGCGGGGATAAGTGAAGGTACTCGAACGACCTATAAATAGTTTTCTCTCGGAGGAATCAGTCCAGTCATCACCCGAAGACGATTGTAAATACTAACAATCGAAACGTCGTGAACTAACGACGTTTCGACGTTTCACCATTTTCATTTATTCAGTTGTTCTATTTTTACTTGTATTTTATTTCACTGTTATTTCATTTCAGGTTTATTTTGGTTAATATAATTGTTACTTTCAGCTATTCATTTTCAATTATTCTTTTTTAGTTGTTTCAGGGATTTCAAATCATTTTATATAGTAGACAATGGAAGTCCGAACTAGTAAAATTCATTATGAAACATGAGACAAACAAAAGACTAAGATATCATCTACGTATTTGTACTAGTACAAGAAACTGTTGATTAAATGATTATCATGAATTTTTAAAAGGTTCTAATACTAGAAAAAACACTAGGAATATAAGTGAACTAATCATATGTCCAATAAGATACTGTGTGAAACACTAGTTTCGTCGTTATTTAATTATGCGGATGCCCTGTATGGACCTAATTTAACTGTACAATACAAAAACGAAATTCAGAAGGTTCAGTACGGAGTGTGGAGTACGAAGACGGCAAAGAATTTCGCATAAACTATGGGAAATTAGATGGCTGAATATGGAAAACAGGGGGAAGCTACATTTTGCTAATCTATATCATACCGTTATTGTCAATGAAAACCAGGGTAACTTCATCGTAAAATTATTTATCGCACTGACATACACAACATAAATATCAGAAATAGAGGATTATTGAGTGTTCCTTCTTTTGTGACAAAAATTTTGCCTTACCAAGCCTTCACAACTCAATTCTTTCAGAACTTAAAAGCCATAGTATTAAAGAAATCAAAGATCACTTTGAGACTTATCTTCTGCATTGTCTGAAATAAATACTTTATTTCTGAAATTTCACATAAAATAACTTATGAATCATTCAGATTTTGATGGAAGATCTGGTTAAATTTTCAAGTTTCATTTATTTTCCGAACAGTCGATGCTCGTGTTTTGAGTGTACATAAAACACAATTCCAAGTTGCAATAATAGGTCATTTTCTTTTCCTTTCTACAATTCAATTCTGAAATAGATAATTTTCAGTAAAAATGCATTCGCAATGCATTGGATTAAGTGGAAGTAAAGTTTTGATGGTATCTAACACTTAACAAAAACAAACTTCGCCGTCTATTTTTAATAATATCTAGAATAGTTATATTTTCGTAATTTTTTTTTGTATATATTCATTCGAAAATAATAAAGACGATTACTATTATTATTATAAATCCTAAAATAGCACAATCGGGTTAATGATGTTTTTGAAGTCATTCTCTCTTTCACAAAACTTCACAAAGAGTTATTATATACGTCAATGCTTCTTCAACAAAAAGTATCCAAACCGGATACTTTTTCCTGTCCGAGGGGATCGGGCGAGATCAGGCTTCAAAACTTTTTCTATCCTTCTGTCACATTATTCCTTAAAGCTTCATTAGCTATATCAACCTCAAAGATTCAGAAACTTCGGGAAATGAAAAATCGGAAAAGTCTTTGCGACGCCAAGATTGCAGAAACGTGGACATTTGGAAAAGTTTCAGTGAAGTTGATAGTTGTTTCGAAAAACTTCGAAACTCTCTGTTTAACTTCGGAATTTTACTGAACTAATTCAGTTTCCAATGTCAGTCACGGTTTTTCTGTTTGACAAAAAACTGGGAATTCATAAGGGATTTGGTTGTTAGACATGCTTAACGAAGCGATTGGGTGGAAAATCAAGTTGAAAACTTAGCTCCCAAGTGGAAATTTCGTTAATCAAAGTTATGTTATACACAGTGAGTGGGAATGCTATATAAATCTCAGAAACTGTTTGTAATGGGACAGTTGTGAATTGTCCACTGTGGTGGAGTAACATTTATTCTTGGCAACGTTGCCAAACATTCAGTTTTTCAGAAAATAATACCAACTTTTTCATCTTGAATAGGAAGTGGGTATCTCAATAGCAATATCATTATCTCCACTATAGATTATTTGTAACTGTCATAGTGGTATATAGCATTTGACATATAGCACAGTTCCTTGTACCTTGAAATGAAAATTCAATTGTGAAAAAAGTTTTTTGAAATATAAGCTTCATTTAAATGCTCTAGAAGAGAAGAAAATTGGACGATCTAACGCTACTTTTCCTCAATGGTGAGGTAATTTCATTTGGAACGGAGGTGAAATATCTTGGCATTGTCCTTGATGAAAAACTCACCTGGAACGCTCTCTTGGACTGTCCCTATGGACATGTCGAAGGATTTGTGGTAAAACTTGGGGTTTAGGTCCTAAACAAATCCATTGGATTTATGTGGTGATTGTCAGACAAATGATCAATTGTGGTGCAATTTCCTGGTGGCCGAAGGCTTTACAGAAAACAGCCCGAACGAAGCTCTCTGGCGTACAGAGACAGGCTAATCTGGCCCTCAGTACCACACCGTCAGCGGCCAGATCGTTCTGGATCTACCTACTCCCCACATTTTTCTGGAGAGAGAGGCTATATGGACTGTATATAGACGTGTGCATATTGCCAGTTGCACAAATCAATTTAATGCAGAGTGCAACAGACTGTTGGTAGACACGGGAAGTCCTAACATTCCGGAAAAGACCTATGACTTTATTCCTCCAACTACTACTGTTCCCAAGTAGTGAACTACTGTTCCCAAGTAGAGAGGATTGGATCCTCCGGGAGAAGGAAATATTAAGAGCAGATAGTTGTTGGTTCACAGTGGATCAAAAACACCTTCCGGTTCCGGTGCAGGTGTTTTCGGTCGCAGACCCAGGACAGAGATATCAACCTGCCTATTATTGTTTGAAGGTGGTTGAGAATAGTGTATTTCATCAGTTCGGAATTGTTAGTATCCCCAATCGCCTCCGAGATCTTATTGTTTATAAGTCATTCGAGTGCTTTTACCTATCCCCTCTTCCCTCTCTCCGCTTTATTGGTTTTAGCGGGAGGTGATCGTTTGGCGGAAGTTTGTCGCTTTTCACTTGATAAGAGGTTTCTATATGTTACGTATCTCTACGCTAGCTTGACTATATGCTTTGTTGGATAACATATACGTGGCTTCTTTGAATTTTCTCCTAAACCAGTGTTCCTATTTGTGGATGATTTCAGCTTGAGCCTACTTGATATTATATTGATGAGTCTCCTCGCTGTGTGTGTTTCTTCTTCTCAGCAATGCGAACTTCAAATGGCCTCTTAGTTTCACCGATGTATGATTCTCCGCACTCGCAGGGTATCCGGTTGCAATCGCAGTCCGCGTTTGGTAGCCTGGTTTTCGTGAGGCTGGTACGGATAGTGTTCCCAGATCTGAAACAGTTTCTGATGTTATACTTGGACCCAATCCGTCTTATCTTTTCCGATAATCCTCTGATGTAGGGAAGTACAAGTACTGGTTGTGGCGGCTTCTCTTCCTTGTGGAGCTCTTGCTGTCTTCGAGCTAAAGCCTGTTCTATCAACACTCTGGAGTAACCATTCCATTGAAGGTTATTTTTGAGGATGCCTAGTTCCTTTTCGAGACCTTCCTTTGTATTACAGAGCCCGAAGGCACGATCTTGATGATTCCTCTCTTAGTCGATTGATGTTGGTTGGATATCTGGTTCAGATACTGTTCTGTGTGAGTGGGTTTTCGATATACAGATGTTTCCTATTTAGTGTCGGTCCTCTTTACCAATACGTCTAAGAATGGAAGGACTTACGTTGTTGATGTGCTTCAGGAAAGTGCCTAGTTCTGCATTCCCATGGTTCCATATTATGAAGGTGCCGTCTACGTTACTCAACCATACTTGGGGCTTCTTGTGGGCTTCTTCAATGGCCAGAGATTCAAATCACTCCATATATATTAGCTATAACCGGTGGAAGTGGCGATCCCTTTGGCAGTACCTCATCTTACGTAAATAATTCGTTATTCTTTTTTGATTTTGTTTTCAGGGATTTCAAATCAATTTATATTATATTTGACAATGGAAGTCCGAACTGACGAAATAAACCTGCCTAGGAATCTATGCGACTGTATTTCAAGCGGAAATTTACGCTATTAAAGTGTGTGCGGTGAGTCAGTAAAAATATTCTCGTTGAAAGGTCTTGGCTCCTACAGAGTAACTTCTAAATGGCTAAATTGCCAAAAACGAATCTACTTAATAGGAAGACTTAATAAATTGTCTCTGGTCTGGATTCCTGGCCATACTGGCTTGGAAGGCAATGAGGCTGCTGACTTTCTTGCAAAGGAGGGTGCTGTAAGCAGCTTCATCGGATCAGAACCGGTCATTGTCATTGCTTTAGGCTTTGCCAAACAAAGATTGAACACCTGGTACTAAGAAGATTCATTCTGGCAGAATATTTCAGAATATTTCGACCAAACAGTTGTTGGACTACAGTAGGGATGAACCACGATGTCTAACAGGCCTTCTCACAGTTGTTGGACTACAGTAGGGATGAACTACGATGTCTAACAGGCCTTCTCACAGTTGTTGGACTACAGCAGGGATGAACAACGATGTCTAACAGGCCTTCTCACATGTCACTATCATTTGAATCATCATATGCAGAGACTTGGACTGTCTGAAGACAGTGTGTGTCGCCTCTGTTTGGAAAATGATGAAACAACAGAGCACATACTTTGTGCCTGTACCGCTGGGGACTGAATGAGGTTTTTAGAGTTCAGCAGAGCCAAACTCGTAATAACAGGCAACACTTTCGAAACAACTCAATAAGTTCCAAACAGCTCAACAAAAAATATGTGACCCTGAACCTTCTCTCAATTTTTTCAGAATATTATGTTGGCTACTTGAAAATAATTACTTCTCTTCAGTACACAGAAATAATTCATAAATGGCTTTGTAGATTACGTCATACTAACCAAGGTATAGATTGCAGCAGTGATAGCAGCAATTCTAGGATTAAGTAGTCTGCAGCAACCTCCGTTGTTGAAATATCCATGTCTGTAAATCAGTTCAGACTTCATTGCAAACTACAACATGTCGAAGGCCTGAAACAAATAAAATAGATTATGTAAAAGGATATGTGGATCGTCAGTGAATTGTGTGACATTTGATGAATATTTTTATTACTATATGACGGTTTTAAAAAAGGTATTAAACTTATATAACTATAACTGATAATTTGACGTATGACACTGGTCTTCTCATCTGTCAGAACTGTCACTGGCAGTAAATATGGCCTAGGCCCCTGAAGCCGTTGACCATATTCCTAGACTTGTCTGGGTTTGTGGTGTATACGTGGTCTGCTGCTCAGTCTGATTTCAGTAAGCCAGCAGACCTCACTTTGATGGATTACAATATTCAAATCTGTTCCGAATCTATTCAAAATCTGTTTTTCCGTTAATCAGCTGTCGCCCCCATACGAACGACAACTCTCAGAAGTTGAGAAACTTGTGCGAGCTAAGGATTAACGCGGTCTCACCTTTTAACGTGTGATTCCTAACACGGTTGCAGAATCATCCCAGCTTCAACCAGATAAATTCTCTCGAGAAAAATATCTGGTCGAGGCAGGAATCGAACCCACGGTCTTTCGATCGTGAGTCGGGCGCACTACCACCGCGGCCAATTCCACAACTATATTCAACCACTGATACTATCGATCTGAGAAGAGAATATTGAAGTTCCCCATAATAGAAAAGATGTGTTCAATTCAACCGACCTTGTAGGACTGAAATAACAATAGTGAGATCAGCTAAATAAATATAGTTCAAAAAACTAGAAAACACGCCTTTAAATGGTATATTGGTAAAATGGTATTCGTTATGTGTTCAGAAATAGAGTAGTCTATAAACCCTCTATTACCTACTATTTAAATGTTGTTGAGTTTTACCTGAGTTCTTCTTCTTCTTAGTTGACCTCATCTCCCCGTTAAGGTATCGAATATGAAATCTGAAGTTTTCACGGATAGGAATGTAGACGAGTTACATTACAATAATAATGGTAATAATGCCATCTGAGATGATGGCGAAACGTCGACTATCGAATAGTACACAACGGATGAACACCCGGAAAACAACAAACAAACATATACCCGTATGGTATAAAAGCGTGTTTTGTAGTCTGTTTAAACTATATTTATTTATCTAAACTTTAATCAATCGGCCGTTTATTCTTTAGAAAAATAACCATTGATATTTTCCGATTCCGGAGAGGGAGCCTGAAAATCAGCTATCAAGCCCAAGGCAGCAGTCGCGCAAAGGAGGGTTACAAATAAGGCAGCAGGATCGCGTGTTAATAAAAAATATACTTTTTTCAAATGAAGAAATACATGTGAAGTGAGTTCGAATTATGTCAAGGAGGTTAGGTACAACGGCATCTGCTCGCGAATAGATCAAGCAATAATTTCGATAATTCTGTCAAATACAGATCCCCAGCTTGAGAGTTACAAACAAACATACATACATATAGATGAAGCTAATATAAAGCGCGTAAAAGCTAACCTGTATATCCATGTTTTGTGAAGCTTATTTTCTTTTGCACAGTATACAAGACACGGAAATTTCATCCCAACAAAATATACTGCATGACAAATTGGGTAAAGTGATTACAAATGTCAATTAGCGCGATTGCGGCTTGATCTCCTGCTTTATGTGTGGAATTCGTTAGATAAACCATTATACGGTTACAGGAACACTGCGCCGGCTCATTTCCATTTGAATTAATTATTATTTCCCGAGAACACGGCTCCGTCATTCGCAGCTGTGTGGCTTATCTCGTAGCCGGTTTACTATTGTATCAGAAGTGGAATAAGTTCATCTCAGAAGCGAATTGTGCAGCAAAACGAATGGAGAATAATACGTACTAACATGATTACTAACGCACATCACGTTTATTCGCGTGTGACATTTCGGAAAACTAATTCTAGGGAGAAGTTGGGATGAATGTTAGATCTTTAAATGCTGGTATCGGAAATAACAATTGCAATAATCTGTTTGAAATCTATAGAAAACCAACAGAAGCCCCCTCACGAACCTCAGAATTCGAAACGTGTGCTAGCTAAGGATTAAAGAGGTCTTGTCTTGGATGATACGCAGTTAAAATTGACTATCCGGCCGTAGGGCTCGAACCGCTGTTCCACACAGCCAACTGAATGAGTAAATCGAACCACTCACGTTTATCAACCGGCTCTCAACTGGCAAGGAGTTGAAAACTCAAATTTCTTATCAATATGCAAAATTGTATTTTAGAGCAACTACATATCTGGAGAAAGTTAGCTGGAATGAAAAGCAGTTGGCGACAAGACAATATAATCATTGTTATTGGAGATGCAGTCATCAATGATATTACGAATGTTACAATACACAAAAAATATATAAATTTCCACTCAACTTGTCTATTTTAGGGAATTGAATGAATCCAGGTGACGGTTTTCTGAGGTTATGTATCGGGAGATATGATACATATGAATCATTTCCAAAAATATTATTTTGATTCCGTTATTTTCTAGATTCAAAGTAATGGAAGAACCCGTTAAAACCTAATTTCCATTTGTTTCGAGATTCACTTCCATGTGACGTTATTCTTTACCTTTAATTAGATGAATAACATCACAAAAATGATAGACTAAGCTCCCATTTGAGGCACCCAGAACATCTAATCCAGCCTTCGTTGTCCTTGGATTTCGAGTAACAATCACCACAGAATAAACAATCGACGTCGCTGACGTTGCCTTCATCATCATCATTATAGAGATCGTCATTCTTTTTCTTAAATAATGCGCGTTTTCCTTTATTTTCAATTTTAGCCACCCTTTTCTGTCACCCTGCTGTTTTTTTTTTCGATTTCCCTTTCTCTTTTTGCTTCTAGCCTACGTTGTTTCGCATTCTCTTTATCTTCTTTTTCTTTCCTAATTGCCATGAGAGTGGCTTTATATGGACTGGATGTTAGAACTGTTGCTGTTCCTTTCTTCCGCTTAGTTTCTCTTTTGATAATTCTATTGACCTTGGGTACAGGAGCAATTTCACGTGGGCTTACAGCAAATGAAGTGGACTTCTTGTTTGGTGGACTATTCAAATTTGAAGTTGTTTCAAGGGAACCAGCTGATGAAGGAGGTATTGGGGTTTTCAGAACCACCAATGACTTCTGTTGAGCTACTGTTGTTGACAGTCTGAGATGAAAATGTACAAACTTGTATGATGGTATTCTCTTCTCCTGGCGCAGGGTCTTCTTGTAGAGTTATTTCTGTTGTTTCAGCAGCTGCATAATCCAGTTCTGTAAACGCATTTATGCCGATTGGAACGATTCCACATTTTCTAAAGCCTTTTATGGCGATAACTGGTGTAGCTGCCTTCAAAAGCGCTTCACCGAGTAGCCGGGAAACCTGGAATTGAGTCACTGTCCGTCCTGGATTATTCCTTAAGAACGTTTCAATGCTTTGTACAAAATACGTATTGAAAGGTGCCATAAACGCAACGTCGAATGGCTGCATTTTATGACTGCAGTGGAGGGAAATGCACAAAACAGTGACATGATTGTCTCTGGCTTTTTCGATGAAGTCTAAGTTGTTCGTGTGAGTTGCATGACCGTCTAGTACCAGAAGAATCGGGTCGTCTTTTGTTGGCTTTGAAAATTTTAAGTAGTGGTCAAACCATAAGGTGAATATTACCATTTGCATCCAACCAATAGGACGACATGCAAAAGCTGATCCAGGAGGTGCACCATCTTGCAGTTCAACTTACATTCCACGCCTTGGTAAAATCACAAAGCGTGGTATAAATGTCTCTCCAGCCGAAACACAGACTACAAAAGTTGAAAGAACGCCTCGTTCAGCAGATGTTGGAGAGCCAACTTGTCGCCGACCTTTTAGAGCAAAGACCTTGGACGACTTGGACTGGACTGTTAAGAGTGCAGTCTTATCAACAGTGTACACCCTATGAGGTGGGAATACGTGATCTTTCTGAATGCCTTCCAAAATGTTAAAAAACTCTGATACATTAGTTTTGTTAAACGCTTGAGCCCGTACAGCTGAAGTCGCCTCAGGCTTCCGTAATGCAATCATAGGGTGGCGTTTTCTAAATTCCTGTTCCCAATCTTTCCCAGCAGTTTTTTTTTCATGACTAAAGTTATGAGGTATGCAATTTTTAACAGCGAGTTTGTAGGCAAGAGCCTGCAGATCAGCCTGTTACACCAAAAAAACGGACTTCCTTGTCCAAAAGATGGTTAACTATTTCTTTTTCCTGCTCCTCCGTGAATATGGGTCGGAAGTGACCAAGAACCTTTTTTGTGTTTACTGCATGAACATTTTGAGGTACCTGGAACCTTTTAGCTGCGGTTTGCCAAGGTAACCCGTCCTTCTTCACTGCATCAATGGCCTTTTGCATAGCTTCAAAGTTCCAGGACTGCTGAGCGGTTTTCCTTTTATACTTGGACATCATACTGTTCTTCTTCTGTAAAAAAAAAACACGGAATTAGAATACCTGAAGTTTGCCGTAATCTTGCTCTTGATATTATAGGCCTACTTAGTTTTGTTTGTGATGAATGCAGTTTCAAAAATCAAGTTTTATGCAACATACATTGCGGGCAAAGTGGACACATTCGCGGGCAAAGTGGCCACGGCTGTGGCCACGGCGTGCCCTCTAGCACGTCATTTTCTAAATACAATATTTCACGTACAACCCGTTGTAGTATCTACTGTTGAGACATATGAATTCAAAGCTAGAAACATGTTGTTTTGCACAATTGATGTACAATTTACTTCACCTAGGCCTACAATAAAATAAAGCGAAACATGTGAAGCACTTACCTAACATCAGAGGGTCGAAAAAGTGGAAAATTTGCGATATCTCACTGAGCTTGCGTCTGAGCGGCACAGAACTACAACACAATAACAACGGCTGCCGGGCGAGTAGTTGAGACTATTGCCGCGAGGCTACAGCACTATACAGGGAAGAAAACTTCAAGTGGCAACTTTGCCCGCAGTGGCCACTATGCCCACCCTTTCCCTACTGGAGTTTAATACCAAAACCAAACAACAAAAGGAATATGATCA